AGTGCGTAAATGTAAACATTTTTTGTTTGTTTGTTTGTTTTTTAATCATCATGAATTGCGGAAATTTCATCCATGCAACGTGCATTTAAGTAAGGACATATAAGTTAAATGTTTAGGCTTTAAAAACATTTATATGTATACTCACAGTAAAATACCTATAACACTAACGTTTCTATACTTTTTAAATGTTTTTCTTTTACACTTTACTATTCTATATTTGTGCATTTATGGGGATATTTTGCACATTGTGGATTATACTGTTAGTATTTCATGATCCATATTGTTATGGATATTATGCTTGAGCAGACGGGGGTGAAGGCCAAACTGGAGAAGGATAGAAGAAAACGGAGGAATATAAGAAGAAAACAACAGAAAAAGAGAGAAAAGAAGGGGGTAGGAGGAAAAGTCAAGGATAAAGCAAACAGACATGCTGGATCACAAACAAATATACGATTTTGCAGTGTGTGTTCTTGTACGTTCAGATATCTTTGTAAGGACAGAAAATTGGCATGCTGCTATATTTGTGGGGACCAACAGTCACTTGTAGGGACAAAGTGCCCGTCCCCACCAGTTTGAAGGCATTTTTGAGGTTTAAAATGTGGTTTTAGTGTCAGGGTTGCAATTAGGTTATGGCTAAGTTTAGGCTAAGGGTTGCAGTTAAGCATTCATTTTTGTTTGTTAGGGTTAGGGTAAGCAGCTAGGGAAAGCATTATATCACAATTATGTCCTCACTAAAATATGAAAACCAGTGTGTGTCTGTGAGTGTGAGTGTCTGTGTATGCACTTTTGTCATGAAAGACACTTGAAAATGACCTGGTCAAGTGCTCCTCTTTAGAAAGCAAATATATGTGGCACAACAAAGCAGACCATTATTCTGCTTTATACAACAGCTGAACCGGACAAAAAAAAATTAATGTGGGATTTTTTTGCTCCCATAGAAACCAAGTCTGAAATGTGTGACATCAGAACCCACCTTTGTTGAGGTGAAAGCCACAGAGGTGAATATGGAAAATGAAACAGGTGTGCTCTGCTATAAGTGCTGCTGGGCATGTCAGCTCCATCAGAACAGGAGATATCTGAGTCTGCTTCATACAACGACAATTGTCATCCTTAAAAAATGATCAGCAGGATTCTCTTTGCTTGCTTGTTTCTTGGTCTGTTCACTGCAGGCTCCTCGCTGAGCTGCAAATGGATGGATCATAAATTTAAACAGCACAACGAAGAGACTCTGAATCTACTTGAAACCATGGTGAGTGTGTTTCTTTTAATAGGCTTAAAATTTTGTTGAATTTTATTAAATTAAATTATTCAGACTTAGTGTCTGCACTTCAACTCTAAGTCTGGTTCTGTGTGTGATCCAGGGTAACAACTCAACTAACACCACTGAGGTGGAGGACACCGTGGCCTTCCCTAATCATCTGTACCACCAGGCATCAAAAGCATCAGTAAGTCAACCTCAGCTTTTCTCATTGTATCGCATAAAATCCCAGACTAATTTCTCCTTAAAGTAAAATAATGTAAAGGTTTTCAAATTTTACCATGGGTATGAAATACAATCAAAAACTAAAATTCATAACCGTCATAACTTTAAGTTCCTATTATGCAAACCCAGGTCTGAGTGTTCTGATATTTGTTCTTATTTTTCAAGATTTTTGAATTATAAAAACCTATGATTCTTCTTCTTCTTCCAGGCTGAGGATAAACTGGCTTTCACAGTTCAGGTTCTGGAGGAGGTGGCTGCCCTGTTTGAGGAGGATCACAGCGCTGCATCATGGGAGGACAGCACAGTGAGGAACTTGCTCAATATTGTCAGCAAACAGGCTGAAGAGCTTCACACCTGTGTAAGTTCACTTTCAGTAACACCACTATTGAGATAACTGAGATCAATTATACTGCTAAAACATATATTTAAATGACTATTTTTCCTGATTTAGATTGGGAGCCACAGTCACAAGAAGAAGAACTCACAGCTGTATTTCAAGACAAAAATGTATTTCAAAAGACTTTCAGATGATATCCTAAAGAAAAAGGTAGGTCTTTATTTATTTTTTAACCAATTCTTTTATTAAACACCTCTGGAATACTTTACTAATGATAATATTGTTGTGTCTGTAGGGTCACAGTGCTGAAGCCTGGGAGGTGATCAGGAAGGAAACCAAAGCCCATCTCATGAGAGCAGAACAGCTGGCTTCATCTCTGCACACTGCCAACTAAAACATGCCTGTTACAGGAAGGATGTGTAAATTTATTTGCTTCTTTTTATTTATTTATTTATTTATTTACTTATTAATTTACCATATTTCTATTTACCATTGTCTTTTTAATCAAACATGTTGGTGATTTTAAAAAAAGAAAAATGTTTTCCTTAGTTATGGGAAAAAAGAAATTTCTTCAGCAAAGAAAGATGTATTTATTGTTTTTATTCATGTCAAACAAACCAAATACATATGTATACACTTAATCTTAACAAACAACTGAAAAATAAAAAAACAAGTAAATGTTGTTTTTGTTCTTTGACACAAGTTAGTCTTTGTTTTTGCACCACCCTCGGGCTTCAAAATTTCATGTTAGCACAGTCAGTATGACATTATCCATCTACTTACTTGAGACTTATTTTGTTAGGAGTCATAAGGGGCGTGAATTCTGTCCCAGCTCACACTGATCAAGAGCAGGGGTACAACCCAGAGCCTGTGAGACTGATAGACTGGGCTTTTACAGGACCAACTGATACACAATACAGTTTAAATAAACATCACCAGAAGCACCAAAAAGATCCGCTGAAATATCAGCTTTTGGGTCTAAATTGCAGAAGGGCTTATTTACACTTTATGACAACAGATTAATTCAAAACAGTGTTACTAAACATCACATTTAAAAAAAAGGGGGGGGGGGGCAAGCATGCTGCTGCACATCTACAAACAAACCATGTGTTGTGTTGTGAGAAAAATGCACGTCTCCATTCTCAGTAAACTATTTAAGGACTTACTTTACAACTTGCAATTAAGAACATATAATCTGTCCTCATTCAGAGGCTTTAGCAGGTGAAAAGTAGTTGTGTGAGTCTCACTCCCACGGGGCCTCAGCTCCCTCAGCCTGAGCATACACGGAGAGTTCCTCATACAGACCTCCACCACATGTCTCGATTGCCAAGCCCTAAAAGACGGAAATAAGTCAGTTTTACTAATTTAATTAGTTTTACTTATACATGTGTCTAGATTTAAGGGCCCCTTCTCTCACTATACGATTAAAAAGATGATTTAAAAAATTCTGAAAATCCATTACTTAGTTACTGTATATGTCTGGGCATACTGGCAGCTACAGTTTTTATTTGCATAGTTGGTGTTTCAGACATGACTCAGAGTTAAAAATGGGCTCCTGCTTAATGTCACTGCAGAATGACATTAACTGAAAAAGTAACAAAACATAACAATGTTTGCATGAACCTCAAACGCTACTGTTCTTCATTCATAATGCAAATTGGAGCTCAGCCCAACATCCTTACTTCATTTGAGTTCATGGATTTTACTTCGTTTGTATTTATTTTTGAATTTTACTTAATTATATTAATGTATCTGTAATTGCTGTCTGCATACTAAGAAGTGTAATTGGGTGTTCTTTTATTTTTTATTAGTTTTACTTAATAATTTGTACCAATAGTTGTTCATATTTAACTTCAAATCCTTAGTTTGGCAGTGTTTAGGTTATAATTTTACTTAAACCATGTAAAGCTGAAAGTGTGGTTTCCAGTAGTTATATAAGCTGGAAAGTGTACAGGTTTAGCCATTGCGACTGACAATCCTATAGTGCAGTGTACATATTCAGGGTTGTTCAAATCTTAATAAAATATATTGTAACTAAGTGATGTATGGGTCACAGGACTGCAAGAAAAAGTGAGCTCACTGACTTTTAAAACAGGTGCAGCCTTACCTTCCTAGTAGTTCCTAAAAGGGTGACTCAAAGTGTTGATATTAGTAAAACTTAGAAATTCTGAATTACAGCCATGTTCATTTGGTTAATTTGTGGGTTTGACTGATTTACATGAGATGTGCATGCTCAAAATAAAAGTTATCATTTCTCCCACTTAACCCTGTAAAGCCTGAAATATGAAATAATGAAATAACCTTTTTTTAAATGGACCTTAAATATTATTTTGCATATATGAGCTTTAATTTGTATCACATATGCTGCATCCAGTATTTTATGTTATTTTCTTTCTCTTTTTTTGGCAATTTTTGTGTAAAAATATATTTACTTTTTTTAAAAAGGATTTTCAGGGGAAAACTCACACTGATGATGAAAAAGTCTCAAGAAAAAACACAAAGACTCATGTATTGAGTACGATAATTGAAGTTGATCTTGCTATTGTTATTATTATTATTTATTAACTTACACTTATGTACACTATTCTTAGTAAGATTATAATTTATGACTATGTTTTTGCTATGTTGCTTTAAATGACTCTTCACTATATGAAAAGTCAAGCAATCACAGTAAGACTACCTTCTACACTTTTGGTATAATTGATTTACAAACAGTTCTGTTTGTTGTGCAAGAGAACAGCAGCAACAAGATCTATAAAAATCTTTCAAATGTGTTTATTAATGCAATAATCAAATGAAATACAAATTCAGCCAGCTAGATGTACTTTATTTATTAACTCAAATATAGGATGTGTATTCATACATTCAACAATAAACCTGACGGTAAATTTGTGGTTAGGGGCTCAGTGGTGCACGGAGATTGCGATTCCTGTTTTTTCGCTGTCTATTGTGTGCCTGCATTTTTATGTAAAGTCACACAGCTGTGGTGTGTATTCACTGTGACATGTTTACACAAATGAGACCACACAGTGAAGCATCACTGTAATATTTTTTTTCTTAAAGAAAGCCAGTGTCTTTCTTTTTTTCACTTTTTATTGTAAAACAAAGAGCTGACAAACCTCATAGATGTGATCTGTTTCCGGCTCCTCGTATTCGCTGTCCCTTCGTTCCCACTGTTAAAAAAGGAAATGGGGGTGTGGGTGGGGAGAATGAATGCAGTTAAAGAGCTGGTACCATCTTATTTAGAGACACATCGCACATAACACACAATAAAATAAATTAAAATGATATTTAAAGTTTTGTTTTCTTTTTTTTTTCAAAATTTGTCTTTTTGCAGTAATGTGGAAGTAGGTGTTGTAAGCATCGGACAACTCAAATAACTGTAGTGAAAATCACTAAAGCGAGTTTGGTTGTAGGTTATATTAAAAAAAATACAGTTGCAGTTGCTTTCCTGTGTTATAAAGACAAAAGCTAAATAAATGTTTGTAGAAAACGATTAACCTATTAAATGGCAACATAATTGTAGCTAACACTGTGATAACTCAAAAACTAGATCTAACTTCATATATAGAATTAAACTAAGTACTATTTTAATAAAATGTATGGATTTTCTTTTTTAACTATTGGTGGAAATCACTGTCAGTTATTAATATACACCTTTGGTAATTTTTGGAATGTTAGAGAACCTCTTATCTAATACGTCTATTTGAAACCTGCTATTATCTCCACTTCCAGTTTCGTAGGTGCTGGTTACAACATAGAATGAATGAAGGCCTACGGAGCTGTAGCCCAAAAACGTTTATATCTTGGGGTGCACATGTTCCCTCTGGCAATACTGATCTTTTTTTTTTTTTTATTACAGGTTTTATTTAAAGTAAATGGATTCGTGTGTGTATTAAGGACGTCGAAACATTCTAAGACACTTTATGGCATTGACAACTTTGATTTCAGGCAATTCAGATTCTGAAAAAGTGTTGTATAGGTAAAACTGGCTTACTTTTCAGAAAATTTTAAAGACATAGGTATTGTTTTAATTTAATTTCAGACATATATGAAGCAGGTGTAAATAGTTATTTTAGCTGTGTAGCTCAATAGCTATCTCATGAGCACCTGGATGAAATGCAGCCATTTACAGTATAGTGGGAATGCCTAATCTAGATTGGCACTGATTGGTATCTGGCTGGCGCCTTAGTAATCAGGTACTTATAATTTCAACATGTCAGAAATCTTAACAGCTAGCTTCTTTTTAAGTATAAACTAAGCTAGCGTCTTGACAAAAAGCCAGCTTCTGTTTTGCAACAGCAACATTTATATGTGCATTTTATTGAGCAAATCACAAAATGAGATAACAAAGCATGTTCTATATATATGATACAATTTAGAAAATGATCAGGCAGCAGCTATGATATTTGAGCTACTGTTGATCGACTGTCTTCTTAATTAGATGATTTGCTGCCTTTCTTTTGCTTTTGGACTGTTAGTATGTTTACAGAAAAGTCAATGTAAAGCTGTTGCCTTCGCCACTGGGATACAAAGCATTTTACTCAGTGCACCACGTTGCATACACATTAAGCAAAGCGAAATGATCAGTTAGAAAGCCTTTCTGTTGTGAGTTTAATCATACTAAATGCATTTATTTTTCTCTACAGCCTTGTCATTTCTTTTCCCTGCTTCTAAAGAAAAACCTCTAAGTTTTCCTGAAATAAATATTTTTAAAAAAAATTCTTGATCCAAAAAACCCTGCTTTCTGCTGAAGATTTGTTATGCAAGTTCTGCACAAAATCTTTTTTTGGAGCACACATTTGCCTCGAGTTTTGTTCATCGTGTGCCTCACCAGTTTTTGTTTACGTAGCAACACAGCAGCAATGAACACAGCTAAAAGAAAACCCTGGAACACAATAAGACCGTCCTTCACATTGCTCCTGTAGAGTGCCTTTTCCATCACAACGGGTCCTGCACAGTGAAAAGATGTATGTCAGCTGCGCATTTTCATGAGCGAGTAGGTACATACTTAAAAAATAAAAAAATATGGTAAAAGTTCACTGTATTTTTAAATGTCTGCTGATGACATGCTGTTCCAGCTACTTACTGAAAACTTTTACTTCGGTTCCGGGTCCCTGTGTTTCATTTATCTTGCAGTAGTACACACCACTGTGCCTCATTTGTATGTTGTTGATGTAAAGATAGGCCATTTGGAAACGAATGTCGTCATCTATCAAAGTCGATAGCGGTGTTTGCTCGTCTCCGATCTTGTTGGCCTTGAACCACTTCACAGTAGAATTATCTTGTCGTGAGGATAAACAGTAAATGTGCACACTGCTTTTAACTGCCACACCATAGAAGCGGGGTTTCTGTCTGATCTGCAGTGTCTTGTTATCAGCAACTAAGCAGACAAAGAAAGGTTGAAAGACACTGTGACACAGTTATACCAGCAATTATCACACATTTCAAATGGACAAAATATACATTAAAAGGATTTTGTCATTGTGGTTGAGGATAAATAATGTGTATGCCACTTATGAGATGCTTGCTTTACAGAGAACAGTGATGTATGTAACCTCCTGGGACCCCATGTCCTCATACAGGGACATTGCATTAAGACTTTTCTTCACCTTATACAGGGAGTGCAGAATTATTAGGCAAATGAGTATTTTGTCCACATCATCCTCTTCATGCATGTTGTCTTACTCCAAGCTGTATAGGCTCGAAAGCCTACTACCAATTAAGCATATTAGGTGATGTGCATCTCTGTAATGAGAAGGGGTGTGGTCTAATGACATCAACACCCTATATCAGGTGTGCATAATTATTAGGCAACGTCCTTTCCTTTGGCAAAATGGGTCAAAAGAAGGACTTGACAGGCTCAGAAAAGTCAAAAATAGTGAGATATCTTGCAGAGGGATGCAGCAGTCTCAAAATTGCAAAGCTTCTGAAGCGTGATCATCGAACAATCAAGCGTTTCATTCAAAATAGTCAACAGGGTCGCAAGAAGCGTGTGGAAAAACCAAGGCGCAAATAACTGCCCATGAACTGAGAAAAGTCAAGCGTGCAGCTGCCAAGATGCCACTTGCCACCAGTTTGGCCATATTTCAGAGCTGCAACATCACTGGAGTGCCCAAAAGCACAAGGTGTGCAATACTCAGAGACATGGCCAAGGTAAGAAAGGCTGAAAGACGACCACCACTGAACAAGACACACAAGCTGAAACGTCAAGACTGGGCCAAGAAATATCTCAAGACTGATTTTTCTAAGGTTTTATGGACTGATGAAATGAGAGTGAGTCTTGATGGGCCAGATGGATGGGCCCGTGGCTGGATTGGTAAAGGGCAGAGAGCTCCAGTCCGACTCAGACGCCAGCAAGGTGGAGGTGGAGTACTGGTTTGGGCTGGTATCATCAAAGATGAGCTTGTGGGGCCTTTTCGGGTTGAGGATGGAGTCAAGCTCAACTCCCAGTCCTACTGCCAGTTTCTGGAAGACACCTTCTTCAAGCAGTGGTACAGGAAGAAGTCTGCATCCTTCAAGAAAAACATGATTTTCATGCAGGACAATGCTCCATCACACGCGTCCAAGTACTCCACAGCGTGGCTGGCAAGAAAGGGTATAAAAGAAGAAAAACTAATGACATGGCCACCTTGTTCACCTGATCTGAACCCCATTGAGAACCTGTGGTCCATCATCAAATGTGAGATTTACAAGGAGGGAAAACAGTACACCTCTCTGAACAGTGTCTGGGAGGCTGTGGTTGCTGCTGCACGCAATGTTGATGGTGAACAGATCAAAACACTGACAGAATCCATGGATGGCAGGCTTTTGAGTGTCCTTGCAAAGAAAGGTGGCTATATTGGTCGCTGATTTGTTTTTGTTTTGTTTTTGAATGTCAGAAATGTATATTTGTGAATGTGGAGATGTTATATTGGTTTCACTGGTAAAAATAAATAATTGAAATGGGTATATATTTGTTTTTTGTTAAGTTGCCTAATAATTATGCACAGTAATAGTCACCTGCACACACAGATATCCCCCTAAAATAGCTAAAACTAAAAACAAACTAAAAACTACTTCCAAAAACATTCAGCTTTGATATTAATGAGTTTTTTGGGTTCATTGAGAACATGGTTGTTGTTCAATAATAAAATTATTCCTCAAAAATACAACTTGCCTAATAATTCTGCACTCCCTGTATGTCATTCTAATGAATCATGTTTCGTAGTTTTTTGTTTGTTTGTTTGTGGTTTTTTGTGCCTGTCCCGTTCGGCACTGTAGCAATCAGAATTATTGTCTGAAGGCCAAAAAAAAAGGCCCAACGGATTTTTTTTTAATCAAGTAGATCATTATTGGCCCACTAGATTGATTGGTATTATTTTTTCATTTATTTTTAACTTTTAAGTTATTACAAACAGAACGGACATGACTGGGGGATAGGAAAGGGGAAGACAAAGACAAGAGAAGTTCAAGAAAAAGAGAGGGGAAAGAAAAACAGGCAGAGGGACAGTGAGAAAAGACATTAAAAAGTCCACTGGATCACCTGCTGGAAGAAAAAGAAAAATAGAGAACAACACAGTAGGGAGACCACAGCAACAACCTTGATAACTATAAATAACAGTAAATAATAAATATTGAATGTTACCGAGCAGAACACAAGACCGACAATGCTTTGAGGCAGCAGCAAAGGAAGATATAGAGTGTGTCTATGAGCACCCATGTGTAGACCTGTGTGCAGACTTGTCTGCGTGAGCGCACTTGTATGTAAAAGGTTTCTCCATTTAACTATCTGATAGAGGGTGTGGGGAGCCATAGCCCTGTCCCCCAGGACATGAAGCACACATGGAGGAGATCCAGCTCCCAAACATCTATAGGCCCTCCAGAGCGCGATAGCCCAAGGAGGACCACCGGAGGGGCAGCTGCGCCATCCTCCTGGAAAGAGCTGAGGAGAGCCCCAGACTGGGGGTCACACAGCAGCCACGGTGAAGAAGCTACAGGAGACTGCGGTGACATGCCCGCAGGCCCTGTCGGCAGCCAGCCGCGGGACGAGCCCCAGGCCCAGAGGGCCGAGGTCCCCCCACCCCCCCAGAAGGGGCCCAACTGAGCCACAGGTGCCAGGCCCCACCAAGATTGAGTCGGTGCATACCTGAGTGCCCAGCCCCGGACATCGAGAACCACCAATGCACTGACGTCTGCGGGCATCAGCCACCAGCAGGGTAACCCCTAACCCACACCTGGGGGGGGGCTGAGATTTTGTACTTTTTCAAGTAATGTTAACTGTTTTGTTTTATCCTGTGAAATAAACCCATTGTCCCCAGATGAAGACATGTTTTTCTGTGAAATCATAAGGGCTTCCTGTTGAAAGAGGAAGCTTAGTTTGTATCATGAAGGAGCAAGCTAGGAGAAGTTAAAAATGCGTACTAAACAAGAGCTCAGGTCTCAAGAGGGTAATGCAATGTGGAAACAAAAGATAAATGCCCTGTAACACTAATTATGAAAAATTACTACATAAAAAGAGACAAACTTCAAGATGATGATGGAACCAAATGGTACACATGGTGGAGAAAAGTGCCATTGTTATAAGAGACATTATACTTTGTCTCCATTATTCAGTTTATTCAGTCTAAAAAACATAATAAAAAGATGTTGCCAGATTTCCAGGTTTCATCTAACCTACAGTATAAATTACACAAACCACAAGCATCAAAAATAAGAAGATTTTATGAATGTTGCTACAAAAACAATCATTGCAGATAAGCTAAAATTTAATTGATAACCATTCCTATAGTAATCCACAAAGTTTAGAAAACAAAGTGAATAATGAATTTCCTTTTTGAAATGATAATGCCAATGAAATGATAAATTGCACTATTTTCTCTAATACTATGGAGTAACGATAAACCAATTAATGTAAATAAAAGCCTTATCATCCACTGATATTGAAAATAATTCTTATTTGTGGCCCAAGACATGTATACATGCATGTATGAGGATATCATATTTGTTTGTTTTTAATGTTTACAACACATAAATATAAGATGCTTTTTTCTTTTATTTGCTATTTCTATATTCATTCTTTAAATTAGATTACAAGTTATATGTAAAATAAAGCAATGGAAACTAAGAACTGAATAACTTGGAGGTGCAGGTATGATATTTATTTACTATAAAATTATAAAGGACTTCAATTCATCAACATGACAATAATCTTATAGTCTTTGTTTCAGAAGAAAACTTCCTCTTTTCCCCAGATGGGCAGGAAGTAATGGTGCTGCAGAGTCAAAAATAACATGCAAAACACTAGTACGCAGTGTAGTTGTGGTTTAACAGTTATAAAAAATACAATTAAAAAGATTGCGTGAGGTGTTATAAATTACCAGTACTGTACTTTACTGAATTATTTTGGTGTACTGGCACTGTGAGTTAATATATGTAGCACTCAAACTGGTATTTTTCCTGTATTGGTTTCATTTTTCAGTCACAAAATCGTGTTGATTATATTCCAAAAGTTTCCATTTACCTGACAGACTGATTAAAACAAGCCCCCACCATCCAGCTAACATCCAGCGCATGATGTCCTCAAAAAGAAGAGAAATACGCTTCAGATGCTGACTCCACGGCTGTATCTGAGTTTCTCTGCAGGTCTAAAAGTGTTGTGAACGAAGATGAAGTGTCTGCATCAGCGGGTGTGCAGTCTGTCTTCTGTCACCATGCAGGCAGGCAAATAAGAGGAAGAGGGCTCTATCGTTGAACCAAAATAACAGCCCACACTTTTACTGTCGGTAACCCGTGTGATTAAATGTTCCATTTTTAGGGACAGATGAAACAGCATTATTAAGCTAAACATTAAGGTTATGATTAGTGATACTACAGCCAATATAATATCATAGTTTCAATATTGATGCCAAGATGATGTTTTTAGATAACTTAGATTTCTAAAGAAAGTCTTTATGGTCAAGAAACCAAAGCAGATAGTTTTTAAACATGTAATTCCTTTTTAAAAAGACCATTTACAAGACACAGTATGCAAAAGAAGATACTATACTGTGCAAAAGTCGTTGAGACTTTTCAACCCTTTTTATTTGTTTGTTTGTTTGTTTGTTTTGTTTCCAATGAGTCAAATATGTCTTTAGCAGTGGTCTTTAGCAACAATTCTCCAGGCTTGGACTAAAGTTTCTACAGTTTTTAAACCACTCAACACTCAACTATGAATCGTTCCAGCATAAAAATGGCACCTATTGAAATTGATGAACTAGTTCACAAGCAAATTGGCAAAGAACCAATTTTAAATGGTCTCTTCAGACCGAAAAACCCAATTTATAGAGAGCTTTTACCAGAAAGCTAGCATATTTTGGCATGGTGTGCAGTGTATCCTTAAAAAAATGAGGTAACTGGAAAAGTGGAGGACAGAAGAATTAGTGGCGATATATGATATATATCTGTGGTAAATTAGCAGTAACTGAAAGTTATGTATGAAAAATAACAGAAAAAAACCCTACCAATTACCTGAAACAGGGCCAGAGAGATAAACCTGGCCCTTAAGTTGATCCATATATACACAGTTTGCCAAAGCTTCCTCAGAAATGCTCTGAAAATCAGTGGCAAGAGGTGACAAATCAAGTGACAAATCCAAATTTGTCCAAAAGGGAAATAATGGCTATTAAAATAGCTATCCTTGCCTTTTGGTAGTTATTTTGTATAATAAATTAGCACCAGAGAAATAAAAGTATATATGACCAGAGAAATTAGTGACACATTACAAAAGCATGGTAGCTATGATATGCTCATTTAGCCTTCATTACATTTATTTGCTGCCATAAGATAGTAGTTCATAGTTTTGTATAGCAGAAAAGTGTGAAGAAATGACTATCAGGTATCAGTAACTAACTACCTGTAATCATTTATATTTAACCGATTACAGGGAACTTTTATACTCATTTTAACCAGGTCTGTAGTATTATAGCATACTCCTAATGTTTAATCTGTTTCTGCTGTCTGTCTTGCAAAAATCAGGTATTTTATAAGTAGTTTGTCTAATGTCTGAATTTTTAATTATGAATGAACATTGACTCACATCTAACTTGCCAAATTTTGTCAGTTCAAGTGGTCTAATTGTAAACCAAAGCCTCCTTTTGGGCATAAATACCCAGTGGTGTTAGACAGAAAACCGTCTGTGTGACTGTCATTTGTTACAGGATGGTTTGGTTAGTTGCACTAATACATGCAGTGGTGGTTCTTAAAACTAGATGGAGATTTTAAAAAACACAATGTTGTTGTTTTGGGGGGATTGAATTGCAAAGACACACAAACTTCTTTAGTCTTCTGCCAATAAAGGCCATGCCAGTCCCCTCTCTGTGCCTCCAGTCACACAAGCTCAACTAATGGGTAAGAGTTGGAGGATTGTTTATGCTTTTACAAGTTATGAACTTATGAAAAAGAACCAAAAAAAAAATAAAGGTACTGTTGAATTAAACTCAGCTCAAAACACCTGATCATCTCAGTCTTTGTTAATTTTAGTCCTTCTTACTACACACAAATTTGTCAGCCCGACAAGCATCAGGAAGCTTTAACACGGGCGTGTTTTGGGAGTGGTTGGCTAAATGATATTAAAATGATGTGCATAGCAATAACTGTTCTAAACTTCTGAATGCCACCCATGTTATAATGGCATAAAACTAAAACTAAGACTGAAACTAATAAAAAACTAAACTGAAACGACCAAATCAGCTCTGGAAACTAACTGAAACTAAAGTGAACTGAAAATAAAAAATGGAATATACAGTAAAATAAACAAACAAACTAAGAAAAATATAAACCTATAAATAATAAATATATTTGAGAATGAGAATTGTACGAATACAACATACAATGCCATTATGTGGCTCGGTACATCCCCCAAAGAGCTTTTAGCTTTGCTGTGGACTCTCAATCTTGTTATGCAACATAAAGCTGCAGTCAAGAGTGAAGTTTTCAGGTCAGTCAAGCTGATCTCATTTCCCTAATTTTCAAAGCTGATAAACTCCGCACAGCAGAGTCCTCGATATTTGCGTACTGTGTGGATTTTTATCACCTATCACAGTCTGTAAGGAAGAGATAAAAAGCTTCTTTCAAGAAATATGTAATAACTAGAAATGCTGTACCTCTCTTAAAAGAAAAGAAATATTTCCAAAAAGATTTGCAATGCTTAGGGTGTCTAACCTTTACATTTTTATAAGAAATGGTGGCTGCAATTGTTTGCAAAGCTGATTTATTTAATCAATCAAAAGTAAAATGCAAGCACAAAATCTACAAAATTAAATGTCATTTGGTGTTTGGCTCTTAATTGTGACAGATCGATTTACAGTTTTCTAATTATTTGACGTAAAAATTCTGGATTAATCCTACTTGTTAAAAAAAATGTTGCCAACCTTAACCAATTTGGTTTACTAGACATTAGGGCCTGAAGAAAAAAACGAGTAGCATTGAAAACCAGGTGGCAAGAAAACAGTCACTAGAAACATGCATTTGCAGAGGTGATCTCCAGCTGGGTGAGGCAGAATGAAATGACATAAAATGCAAATAAATCAAAAATCCCATCGTCCCACTCCATGTCAGAAACAGGGTGCTTTTTAATCTACTGACACTCATGCTTGAAAAAGTCACTGAATGCACATTTTTTAACATAGAACCTGCTATTAAGTTAAGGCCTCAATTAATCCCCTGTTAATAAAAATGGTTTGACTGTAAAAAAAAACAAACACACTGCACATGTTTAACAGTTGTAAGTTGTTTTTGAGGAGGTTAAAGTAGAGCTCTCGAAGTGTTGCTCCTTAGTGATGAGGCTTTTTTAATGCGCTTTTTCTTACTCATTAACCTACATTTCTTATAATTATGCAAAAAGATGGACACTCATAGACACAGAGATTAATGTAAAGCATAGTTCATTAAAAAGTCTGACTATAGTGGCTTTTTTAAAGAGTAAAAAGTCACTACATTGTGTTCTCTTGGTTGTTTTCCATCTTCAGTTTTTAGTGTTGCTGTCAACCTCTCTACCAGCAGAGGGCTACAGTGCATCAATGCAATTTCACAGACAAGACAAAGTAGTAACTGACAAGTGATCGCACAGCCTACTTTTCCTTACAATAACTGTTTTATTCTAACAACATAGTTTTAAAATAACAAAATGATATAAATGTACATTTCAGAAGGAAAAAAGAAAAAAGTATGTACAAGCAACATTGTAGGTGATTGTAGGTTGTACCAGCAAAGCTCCCCATGTGTCTTTTCCTCCAGTAGAAATGTAAACAAAAAGAGGACACTGTCTTGTGAATATGACTGTCCCATCAGAGGACACTATAGCTGAGTGGTGCAGCGGTGTCTCAGTCTCACATAGGAGTTCGGATGGTCATGTTACAGTCTCCTGACAGGAAAAACTGCCATGCTGTAGCAACAGGATATGACAAGAGAGACCCCTTGTGGAGGAAACATTCATAATTTGTGTACCTTCTCCAAAGATGACATTGGAACAGTGTCAAACTCAATGAAAATAGACATGTTATTGCCTATTGTTAAAAAAAAACAAGCTAGAAAACTGTAAAAGTGCATATGTTAGTCATGTATATACAGTACTGTGCAGAATGTAAAGGGGCATCTGATCAGATATCAACATCATTTTGTGAGTCGAGAACTGCATGAAGAGAAAAAATAAATCCACAAAACAGTCAAGGAAAGTCTTTAGGATGCTTGGGACAACCTACCTGTGCAAATTAAAATGAAAAAATAAAATAATAATAATAATACTGCATGACGAAGTACCAAAGAGGAGTGGTACCTTTTTCGAAATAAATTATATTCACAAAGAGTGATTTTATTTGATTTTTTTCTGTGTTTACTGCACTTTAAATGAAGTTTATTGCTAAATTTAAAAAAAAATGTTTATATGAAATTACTTTTAAAACTGCCTGCAAGTTTTACACAGTACCATATATTTAAAGTAAGACATCATAATTTCTATTAAGACTTAGACAAAAGCAAGAGAATTAACATCTTTATATGACTAGATCCACTGCAGGTTTTCTTGTAAATTTGTAAAAAGATCTGATTAACTACATTTTGGAAAGTGGCACATGTTTTTTTTTTCAACCATTCAATGTGTGTGCCTTGCATCTTGTGATCTAACCTGAGACGAAACTTCCTTTTAATTCACAGCGAGTAAGTATGTGCTTAGCAGTTCTCTAATACAGCCACATTAACATAAAAACATCACATTGTAAGTTTACAGACAGCGTTCAAACCTGAATGCTGAAAGGGAAATCCAGCAATGAAATGGCCAAACATGGCTGATTTAGGTTTTGAGAACATCTGATATCTGAAGGGACCAAAAAATATAAATATAAACATGCACACAGTATGTAAGTGGGAAATAACCTTTGAAATCATTCAGTGGAGTGCAGTTAACTGCTCTTATTTGACTTGGAGGGACATAAATAGTGCAATATAAACTGGGCCTGCCTGAATGAGCCTGTTAGGAACAGATGCTAACTATATTAGCCACACCATGTGGGTTTAGTTAACCCCATTGTTAACTAATAAGTAGTTTCACAGAAAGAGAGGGACAATGAGATCCAGAGACTCTATTTTATTTATTTACCTGTGTACAAAACAGATTCCCCATAGAAAGTCATCTGGTATCTAATTAATAATAAAACATATATACTCTTTATATACTCTTTACTCTTTTATACTCTTTACCTTTTGATAACATGAATTATGATTTTTTTGTTTTATTTTGTATTTTCTTTGCTTCTTATATATTGAGATAATACTTGTTCCAGTATTATTAATTTGTCTTAGTTGAGTTTTAGTTTAGTTTATGTTTCGTCTATGTCTCCTGATATGAGTCTTTTCCTGTCCCCTGTGAAGTCTGTCATTTGTAATGTCTTTGTGTTCACGTTGTCAAGCTTGTCTTGTCTCGTCTACGTTCTGTTGTTTCCTGTTTTATTTTGAAGGGTCTGGTGTTCCATGTTCAGTGTGTTTAGTTGTACTTCCCCTGTTGCATTCAGATTCAATTGTGTCAGCTCATTATCCCCAGGTGTTTTCACTTCCCTCATTATCATTATCCTGTGTATTTAGGTCCTCTGTCGTTCTCTGTTCAGTGTCGGGTTATCTGTTTGTCTAGCATCATGGACTTCAAGTCACAGGATTATTTTCAAGCTTTGGTTTATGTTCATGTTTTTCGTCATAGTTTTTGCAATCCATCTGTTCTGATTCACGTTCACATCCCCTGTGATGTGAATGTGAATCAGCTATTGTTAGCTTATCTCAATTTAGGTTTTGCCTTTGTTTTTCTTTCTGTTTTTTTTTTTGTTTGTTTATTTTCTTCCCACTAGAAATTTACCATAAAACAGATTCTAGTCCACAATAATGTTTCAGCCTACAGTAAAGTCTAGCATATTTTCATTGGATAAAAAAGGTTAAAATAAATATTAGCTCTTGTATTTCTGTTAAACTGAAAGAAATCATATCTTACTGGTTCATTATTTTTGAATTGTGCATTAAATCACAATTTTCCTTGACCAATTTTGTTAATTTTTATGTTTCTATGAAGGAAACATTGAGGGGTGTACGACAAGGTATGTTCAGACTTAAAACAGAGATTTTAGTGTCACTAAAACCTCTTTTAACCCGGATAGGTTAGGTATAATTAGCTGTAAGTGTTGTGTTTTCAAAAGTTCTTTTAATGAAATATGATTCTGAGCTGAGAGAATATTATTATAATACCAGCTGAGCCACAGACTATTATTAGAGTAATACCCCAGTCTAATTGCAACAGCGCAAACTCCAAGCTTCGCATTGCCACGAGAATTAGCACACGTTAATTTGATGATGCAAAAAAAAAAAAAAAAAAAAAAATGACAAAGGATGAACTGAAGCTCCGCCATCACGTGATGTCACATGCTGCTGTTTCTGATGTCAAAAAAAAAAAAAAAAAAAATTTGATGATGCATGAAATTTATATGTACAATTTCATGTTTATTCCATCATTATCGTTCATCAATATCATGATGAAATATAGTTTGAAGTTTCAGACCTATGTGTAACTGACGAGAATGGTAAAACACATATATTCACATGTGGATTTACAACATTAGCAGTTTTCTGGTGTGTTCTTCTCATCCCATTTTTTATTTTTGTTTGATTTTGCCTCCTTTTCCTCCCTACTGATGCAAGGCAATTTGTTTATTTTGTGTAGAAGAAAGCATCAAATTTCCCTGAGCCTGAAACAGAAAACTGGGGTTAACAGAGAAAGTTGGTAACCACCACCACCAACTGAACTCCCTAAAACTGAACCTGTAGGTTTTGTCAAGGCAGTTAACACACACTTTTGCACACAAAAACCCTGTTATTTTGAACCTGCTTGGCAGTAGACACTTCAGTTTCACTTTCAATACCCGAGAAAATTAAATGTAGAATAGAAAAAAAAGAGGAATAGATTCTTAAGTTTAGGGATAAAAACTGCATTCGAAACATCAGTTAGACTCTTCTTTATCTAGAGTTAAAAAGCATATCAGCGACACTTATACAATAACAAGAACAGTTTCCATCACTGTTAAAAAAATAAAAATAAAAAAAAAGAATAGAGGGAAGAGACAAATAATTATATTGTGCAGTTTACTATACAACTGACTCTCTCACGTTTGCTTGTAGAGTCAAGAGGTGTTGGTTGGGGGCAGAATGCAATAAAACCTCATTAGTGACTTCTACAGGAACAACAACAATATTTTGCACGGGGGTTTCTGGACAGCACCGTGCCTCTCTGTAATGTGACAGTGCCTCAGGATTAGAGGGCTGTTGTCTTGCCAAAGTTTCTAAAGCTGCTTGCTCCATTTCCTCAGCAAGCTCTGCATTACTCCCATAGAGAACCCCTAACCTTCGTGCAATCAACCCTTTTTTTTCTGGTGGATCGTCACCTTCTTTCTTTCTCCCCATCTTCTTAGATCGATGCATAAAAGCTGCATGGCATAAGCAGCGCCTCAGAAGATGGCTGCGGTAAGCCCTCTGAATAACCACAGCGGCCCTCTGCTCTTCTTTGTGGCGCACCGTTGTGACAACTGGTGCAAAGGTGTCTTTGCTATCCTTAAATTTTTCCTCAGTGCTTTTCCGTATTGCTTCCATCTCCACTGTGTTTCCCAAGATCAACTGAGTGACAGCCATCAACACATCCAAGTAGTGGATTTTATCTCCAGCAACCAAGGGGAGATCCATTTCAATCAGCTGGAACAGGTTGGGTTTGGCAACCTTCAGTGGCTCCTGCAAGGTATCACAAAAATCTGAGAGCTGGCTATACTCAATAAACTGAGTTCCATCAATGTCAAATTTCTCCCATGTCTCATTGAACATCTCAAAGTCGTCCTCACTGAGTGGATCGCTGCTTTCCTCCTGAGCCACATTGAAGTTCTCTAAGATGATCGCAATATACATGTTGACCACCACCAAGAATGAGATGATGATGTAACTGCAGAAGAACACCATGCCCATGCCAGGGCTTCCACAGTTGCCCTTTACATTCGTGCCAGGATGCTCAAAGTCTGGATCACAGTCTGGAGGCTCCCGGTTCAGCATTGGAAGTAGAAGTCCATCCCAGCCTGCAGATGTTGTAATCTGGAACAAGCAGATAATGCTTCCTCCAAATGTTTCAAAATTAAATATATCATCAAGCCCAGCCTCCTTTTTGACATAGGCAAAATTTGACATCCCAAATATAGAGAAGATGAACATATTGAGGAAGAGCAGGAGACCAATATTGAATAGAGCAGGTAGGGACATCATCAGGGCAAATAGAAGCGTCCGAATGCCCTTAGCTCCTTTAATAAGACGTAGAATCCTGCCTATCCTGGCCAGTCTGATCACCCTGAAAAGAGTTGGTGACACAAAGTACTTCTCAATTAGGTCTGAGAGCATTGTACCTGGAAGAAAACACACAGAAAAGCAACAATGTATCAATATATCTGCTGGACCAAATTAGCAATTCACAGCTGTACTTTTAATTCATTAATTACCCACCAGCTATTGACAAGATGACCACGACAAAATCAAAAATGTTCCATCCATTGGTGAAGTAGTACTGCCGCAGGGCAAAGACCTTCAACACACACTCTCCAGTGAAGACCACAATGAAAGCCACGTTTAACTTAAAGAGGAAATTCTCCTTCTCTGCACTTTGGTCATCTGTTTCCACCATCATGGACACCATATTGAGGCAAATGAGGACCATAATGAAGATGTCAAAGAATTGTTGACTGATGAAGTCAAACACTATGCCCTGGATTAGGTTCTGTAAAGGAGAGGAAGTAAATCGAGAGCAGTGAGGAACAGAAATACAAATCCAGGAAAGTCATTTGGCCTGTTAACACAAGTAGTGTGCAGAAAAGGTGAACATAGCCACGTTATGCATGCCGACGTGAAGCATCATTACTTCTGATGATGTCATTCATACATGCAAGTTTTCCAGTCTTGGACTGATCAACGTAAAGCATTGCTAATACAGAAAACTAAAATAATCATAATGCCTTACCGTTGGACGAGGAATTGGCTTCTGTGGCTTCTTGGAACCAAGTTTCTTCATGGCTTCATAGTACTTTTTCTGTTCATCAGTCATAAAGATGTCATCATCTCCAAAGTGCGGAAAAAGCAGAATTCAAACGTAATTATAGGAATTTAAATAATGTCACAAGTCTATGTGGTTTAAAGTTATAAAATTGTACACTTGAAAATAGGAAAGAAAACACTCAATGCTTTTGCACAGGCACTATTTCAGATGAACAAAGTCTTATACTTATCTTTTTCTTTTGCTGACTAAAGTTATCAATAATGACCCCAATGAAGAGGTTAAGTGTGAAGAAAGAGCCAAAGATAATGAATATGACAAAGTACATGTACATGTAGAGGTTGATTTCGTAGGATGGTTGCTCTTCCACCTAAGTAGAAAAAATACAGGTGAATAAATGCCTAATCATCATCATTTGCTCAGTTACAGGTTGGAAGATTTTCTTCATTTGATTCATCGGATATTTTATAATGTCAGGTTGCAATGCATACATGCTCTTCTAAGGAAATAATTGTAACTGGACTCATAGTCCATAGTTTATTGCCCCAGATGAGGATTCCTTTATGCAGCTCACCAGAACTTCAAAGACACGAAATCATTACCTCTCTTGAGTCGACAGCAGCATACATGATGTCCATCCAACCTTTAAAAGTTGCCTGCAGTCAGTGAAAACATTTATTTAAAATATGTATCAGTAAATATGACTACTAATTTTCTTTAACTCACACAAAACACCTCACCACTTGAAGTAGGGACAGGTAGCCTTGCCCTACATTGTCATAGTTGACTTTCATGTTGACCCAGCGGGCCTCCTGTGTCGCTTCTTTGATGGCCATGCAGTCGCTCCGGTTATTGACTTCAGTGATGGGGAAAAGCTCCTCCGATGTGGTGTTGATACAGCGGTAGAACTTCCCAGCAAACAAATTAACTCCCATGATGCTGAAGATGAGCCAAAAAATCAGACACACCAGTAGCACGTTGAAGATGGAGGGAATTGCTCCAACGAGAGCGTTTACCACCACCTGCCCCACAAGACAAGACTCTGTTTAGAACTTTGCAATAGATATTCAGATTTATTCAATAATTTATTCAGCTGTAAGACCTGAAGTACTGTGCAAAGGCACCCCACATTTCTCTATAATTTGTTAGCAAGATGGGAAATAGGTGGAGCAATTTATTGAAAGGTGCAAATATTCATGAGAGCACAGTATGTAAGTCACAAACAGAGTTTTTAGAACCCTAGCAAGATTTCAAGTCAATATTTGGCATTGCCACCTATTTTCTATATTGAAGTCTGAGCTTTCTTAGGCAAGTTTTATTCTGTTTCCTAAAAGGAGTCCTCTGGTCTAGTTCTCCAGGCTTCTTGACTTTTGTTTCGTTCTCTACCAAAATGATCCCAGACTGCATGTCATGAACATTATGTGCTTTTGCAACAGGCTGCTAGAAACAAAGTGCTTAAAGATACAATTAAAATTGGTTCTTGGCTAAACTGTTATTTGCTGACACACAATCTGATCCTTTGAGTTGGATACCTCTTTTATACTTGAATGATTCATAGGTCAATCTTAGGTGACTTAACAAACAAATAAACAAAAATAAAAGGAAAGATAAGGTCAGGTACAAGAACCTGACCGAAAATGAGTGAAAAAGCAGCTAATGTCCAAAGAAAAGCTTTGAAAGATCTTCAGAAACAAAGGAAAACTTGCTCAAAAGCACTTTAAAATAACAAGAATGTCTGACTCCTTGGAAAGGAAAAAAGAAAAGAAAGAAATGAGTGGTGGTTCAAGACTTTTGCACAGGGCTACAACAATAATCTTACTCAAATGAATGGATTGATTAGTTAGTCAACTGACTCCGGGAAACTCACCTCAGTCACCTCTGTTACAGCAGCTGTGGTTTAAGCATGCATTCAACAAACACAGTTGGACAAAGCCAGGCAAATTAGTACAAGAGTGCATCAAACATGAGGTTTGCATCTTCTAAATCAGTGTTAACCATTCAAAATATTATAATGTTAACATTAAGTATTACAAATTCCATATGAAACAAGCATTAGCAGCCAATAACTTACCCTCATCCCTTCAAATCTTGATAGCGCGCGAAGAGGCCTTAGTGCTCTGAGGGTTCTGAGGGATTTGATTGGCCCAAGGTCAGAGTAGCCCATCCAGTTGGCAGCTAAACTAATCAGGGAAATCTGTAGCAGAATCAAAACATTTCCCATTCAAGTGCTATCACAAAACCTTTCTGGCATAGGAGATGTATTATCACATACAGGCAAGCAGTGAAACTTACATCTACAATGAAAAAGTCTAGCCAACACCAGGCATTGGTGAAATAGGTCTTGAAGCCATATGCAACCCATTTAAGGAGCATCTCGATGACAAAGATGTAGGTGAAAATCTTGTCAGCATACTCCAGAATTATCTTAATCGTTCGGCGCTTTTCTATGTATATATCTTCAAAAGCCTGCCAAAAGAAAACATTATCTACCTAGATATGTGTCATGACAGGATCAGTGTCTTAACGCTATCATAAAAAGGTCATCGTTTCTAAATTTGTTGCTGTTATGACAACACTCACAAGAGCTCCACTGCTGAGGAGGATCATAAAGATTATGAAGGTTTCAAACCAATCATGCTCCACAATAGTGAAGCAGGTCTTGCGGAGGTTCCACCATTTTTTGCCTTTGTCTTGGGTGATGTCCACCATCAGACATGGCCAGCGCCTCACACAGTCTGAGAAAAGTGGAAAGGTTTGCGATTACCTCATAATGTCAGATTACAGAATGGCTACTGAAAAAGACTTCTGTGTCTTTTTAGTTTTGCTTATTTAATAAAATTGTTGTTCATACTGTCAGTGAAGCACGCCTCTGGCTCCAGTGGCTCTGGCTCTTCTATTTCCGGTTCAGGCTCAGGTGGTCGATAGGCCGCTGTGCTGCATACTGAAGAATCCTCACCATTCTGAGCACCCATCAGCTAGACAAGAATCACAGTTAAAGTTCAGATGCAAATGCATTATGCAATCACACAGATGAAAATACTGTTAACTCACTTTGATATTTCCTGGGATACTAATTTGATCTTTCACATTTTCCTGAAACAGCAGACGAACAGAAAACAAACTTTATTAAGTGTTCATAGGAGTTTGAGAAACATCCAGCACACAAGTTTATTGTCCCAAAAATACATTATGGGGATCCTGGGAGCGCACACAAATCCCCTTGAGGTTACGTCAGGAACAACATCCGGCATTATTTATTTTGAGAATAATTATTTTCTTTGCTGCCTTATTTCCAACAGTTACAAAAAATATATATATTCTGATGATAGTTAGGATTTATTTTAATGTTTGGCAAATTTCCAAATACAAAGTTCCAATACATGTTTAAGCCATGTTGCCAGTTTGTTAACCAAAGTCGAATTTTACTTATGCTGGATATATATTTCCTGATTAATTGAATTTTAGCTGCAAATTTGAAAACAAAAAAGTCAAGTTGGACTCTAGGGTTGGACACTAACCCTAACCCTTCATTTCATTTTTGTACAGTTATTTCATTTTTAACCTTAATTTATATTTTATTCCTTCCTAGTTAAATTTACCCTTTTTAATTTTTCATATTTATTTCCTATCTTATTCATAGCCTTTTCCTTTTTTGTTTTCTTTAGGTCACGAGCAGTTGTCCAAGCATTTCACTACATATCGTACTGTGTATGACTGTGTACGGGACAAATAAAATTTGAATTTGAATTTGAATTCGTGAATGAATGAACGAATGAATTAACCAATACAATTTATCTTTGGTGGTCAAGAGCTGTTAAAATCTTATTTTGAGATGAATAATAGATCACAAGATGGCAATTATTTGAAATAAACTGTATAAGACTTTGGATAAGAAGTTTTCTTACGGTATTCTGCTGGCTATGTTCCTCATCTAAACTCTCAGAGCGATTATCATCATTGGAATCACTGGTTTCATCTTCATCATCCTCATCGTCCTCTCCCAGATTTTCAAAGTCTGACTCTCCCTGGGCAATTGGCACACTAAGACTGAACTCTCCATCCACAATAAATCCAGAAGGCCGGCCTTCAACTAGGCAATCTGATATCCCATCTGCCAGTTTGAAAGTCTGACTGGTGTCCAAATGGTTCATTTCAATTCCTTCCGTTTTAGGGTCGACGTCATCAGCAGGGCCCTCGTCAGGCTCCTTGGGCTTTCTGCCAAGAGTCCGAAAGATAGTTTGAATGATGAACGCTTTAAACCAGTCGATGAACCGTGTGATCCTGCCGATGGCAATCTGGAGATTGTTCATCTCTCCGTCATCTTCTCCTGCTGAAAGGTTGTCTCCACTGAACGAGCTGAGCAGTAAGGCCAAAAAGAGGTTCAGCACCTGAGTTCAAAGAGTAATGAAGGTAATTAACAGCTTCTTATTGTTCATTTTGTTTAGTGAAAATAAATATTTGACAGTCAAAGTGATGCCTAAAGAAGTGAGAATTAGGAATCATTACTTGACTGCAAAACAGTGATCAAGCTTATATCCAGTGATCAGTGAGTAAAACTGTACTAACTTTGCTGAACCAAACACAAAAGTTTGGAATAGCTCAAGCAGACATCATATACCATATTGTTCCTGTGACGTCACATCAGTAAATATTATGTTGTCTGCCTCCTGTCTCAGATGCAGCTATCTTTAGTTACTCAAACATGTTATTTGATTTCGCGGCTTCAGGTTTAGCAGGAGATCATGGTTACATGGACTAGTGGGAATGCTCATCTCGCTTATTCCAGTGTCAGAGATGTCAATAAGAAAATAAAGCTGATGGACAGGATGAGCTGCACAAAAATCAAACGCGACAATGAAAGATCGGAAATGGATTTGATGATCTTTGATGAGTGGAAAAACTAACTGTGGTAGAGGTTATAGTGTTTTTCAGGGTCATGTTCCTAGTCTCCTGGAATATAATTCTGGTGATTTGTCAGCTAATTCCATTAGCTTTGTACAGTTCCGGTAACCTGATGAAGTGAGACATTTCTTCCTTGTCTTAGAGGAACAGTGTGGCCTATAGGAAATGTACCTAGTCAATTTCTTGCTGCAAAATAGATTAAAATTTAAAAAAAAAAATCTAAACATTTAAAACTCATTACTTTTGGTTTTATCTGAAGGCACAGCCAGCAGCTTGAGCTGATGTTATATTATCATTTGTTTAATAAAAACTGTGCATAAAAGCTAGTGGTGATTTCATGCTCATTCAACCAGAGAAAATACTCTGCGTGATTCTCAGTTCAAAATAAGCCCCTCCCTCTGAGCCAAGTTTATTCTAATTGGCTGCCCATCTCACACAGAATGATCATCCACCATTCTAACAGTAATGTATGACATAAAATAAATAAAAACATAATAAGTCCCCTTTAAATCTTCTCTGCTCCATATGCTGTGGTGTTGATGGCTCAATATGATTACCTCTACATCAATTAGAGTTCAATCTGCTATCAAATGACTTCTCTTTTACACCCAGACGCACTGCCACCTGAGCTGTGCTCGCTCAGCTGTCTGCGTTTGTTCCATCAGTGGCAGCATACTTACTTGAGCCGGATCTTAGCGCATACTCAAGGTCAAAACCACTGTTTGGTAGCTTAAGTCATTAGATTTAAATAGAAACCCCCTCCCATGAACCTTGTAAGTATATTATTTGCCTCATTATTAGAGAAAAAAGTGTACATTCATGTGTTAAGTAAGCATGCTCAGGTTTAACAGTGGGTAAGTAAGAGTTTAAGATCCAAGAAGCCTCAACAATTTTGGCACAGCGTGCCTAACACAATACTTCAAACCTTGATGAGGAGCCATTTCCTTTTCATTTCTATGAATAACCTGACAGGAAATGGATTTGGCTCTAGTCATTAAATATGATGCTGAAATGATGTCTGACAGTGATCGTCTGTATGGCCTTGTTTCGTGAGGCCGAGATAAAAAGGTCAGGGGGCAGCGTTTTCATGCTACAGACACTCAGAATTCTTCAGAAAGCATTACAAACCCTGAAGCCTCATCACTCAATCAGTTCAAAGGCTGTTCTGTTAAATTGTATATGTTGGACTGAAACAATCTCCTGGGAAATATATGTCACTCTGACACATGTCATTCATCTAGATCCCCAGTTGGGCAATGAATCCAATCAAACAACAAAAACTGCTCAGGAGCAGCTTGAGGAACATGAAAAATCTCAAAACACCCGTGAGAGGTGCCGTAACAAGCCTGATCCATGGATACTATGCAACAACCCACAGAACACAGAGGATCTGAAGTCTCGAACCACAGGGGTGAGGAGGTCAGGTGATCCTGCACTGATGGGTCAAAATTTTCTTGGCTGCACGACTGGGGCATGCACGGTATAAGAGAGGTTGTTTTAATCTTTTGGCTGATCAGCGTAAACAGTTTTTTTCCTCCAGCGCCAACAAAAAAAGTTTCACAAGTTTTTCCTTAACATACTCAAATATTTACTTCACAAACTCCTAGATGGATCACTGAAATAACTAAGACTTTCTTTCTTCAATCTTCAGTCTGAAGATAGCATGCAGTTGTTGGACTCACCACTAGGTTTCCAATGACCATGACCAACATGAAGACAACTAAACACATCCCAGTTCCGGCAACCTCCATGCAGTCCCACATAGTCTCAATCCACTCCCCACACAGGATGCGAAACACGATAAGAAATGAGTGGAAGAAGTCGTTCATGTGCCAGCGCGGCAATTCACAGTCCAAGGAGATCTTGCACACGCAGTCGTTGTAGTTCTTGCCAAAGAGCTGCATGCCCACGACGGCAAAAATGAAGACGATGATGGCCAGCACCAAAGTCAGGTTTCCTAAAGCCCCTACTGAGTTACCGATGATCTTGATGAGCATGTTGAGAGTGGGCCAGGACTTTGCCAGTTTGAAAACTCGAAGCTGTCACCAAACATGGGACAAAAATAAATAAAAACATTTAGTAATAGCAGAGCAGATAATTCCACTGTGTTAAACTGATGCAAAGAAATTCAATCAGTGTGTCTCACCAGACGGAATGATCTGAGGACTGACAGACCCTGAACATTTGCCAGCCCCAACTCCACCAGACTGAGTGTAACAATGATGCTGTCGAATATGTTCCAGCCAACTTGAAAGTAGTAGTAGGGATCCATAGCAATAAGCTTGAAGACCATTTCTGCTGTGAAAATACCTGTAAAAACCTTAAAAAAAAAAAAGATAAATGGTTTTTTTCACCCCTTAAATCTGAGCAATGTCTTTAAAGTATTTTAAAATGTTAGGCAGCACATACCAGATTCCCCACTGACAGCATATAGTCAAACTCCGGGGTCATGGGGTAGTGCTCCATGGCCATGAAGAGGGTGTTGAGCACAATGCAGATAGTGATAGCCAGGTCAACAAAAGGGTCCATCACAACAAAGTATACCCGCTTTTTAAAGACCACCCAAGGGGTACAGCAGTCCCACTTCAGGAAAAGGTCAGCAAATTTGTACCAGCCAGGTGGGCATGGCCTCTGAGCCTCCTCCAACTCTAGAGAAAGAGGCAGAAAACAAAAGGTAATATTAAACCTCACTTAAGCCTAAACTTTCAACCTAAAGTCCAAGTCTTGTTGCTTCAGGTTATAGCTGTGCTGAAATAGATCTAGCTTAACACCATGTTTGACAGGAATCTCTGCTACACACAATATATTTAGCCTCGTTATGATAAGCTCAAGACAACTCCACTGTATCGGCCTTGGATAAATTAATGAACAATGTTAACAACTGCTTGATAATCTTAGGAATTATTGCTCACACCAGAGCACCTAATGCTAAGCCTTGTGTATTTCTTCTTCACCCCCAGTGGCACCCGACACTTCCAGATGCCAGATTTCTCCACGCAGTATAAAAAAAAAAACATTACCCCGAAATAGAGGTTATGTTGTTGTGTCCTCAGCTTACATTAATCAAAGCTAAACAACATATCCTAATTTTGTTAGTGTGATATCAATATTGTGTGTGTTTGGTGCTGTACCTTCCATGGCAGCTGCAGTGAGCACAGTCAGAGCACTAGCAGTTCTCTCTGCCATGCATGGTTCATCCAGTTGAAGCATGCTGTGAACGGAGCCCAGTGACTTCTCTCTGCATTCATAATCCATGGCAGACTGTAAAATAGCATAGCATAGCATAGCGTCTTTATTTAAACGCACTTTATATCCAACAATGTTGACCAAAGTGCTACAAATATAGTTTGAGAATTTCTTAAAACACATAAGTCAAGGTATGTAATTGCAGATGGACAAGGCAAAGGTTTTTAAAAACACTCATACAGGCACCACTAACTATAACTTACCTCGTTCATGGTAGGCGCTCTGATCATCAGACGTGGAATAATTCTCCCATTGCAATCTTTGACAATTTCATCACGGTCAAGGCTCTGTTCGTCATCTGCCAAATCAGACCCAGTGTGATGGCTGAGCGAGTTCTTGCTGGTTAGAGTGCCTTGGCTACCAAGCATCTTAGCCTGATTGGCAGAAGATAAGTCATTCAGTAAGATGTCTTTGTTATTGCATTGGACAGTTTATAAAACCATTTAAAAGATGGCTCGGCTGTAATTTTACAGTATAAAATATTACTTTATTATAATTTAGTACTGAATAGGTGACATTCCATGTCCCATCTGCTAGTCTTGGTAGCCAGGGATCGGTCCATCAGGGACACTGCTCCTGGCCACCATCCGGCTCACAATGCACCCGACCCCAACGGTGCCTCCTGCAGGAGGTGGTCCTGCAGAAAGATGGGTCTTCCTGCAGGATGGGTTAGGAAGATGGCCACCAGACGCTTGCCCTCGGGTAAAACTCTCCGGACCTGGCTCCAGAGTGGGGACCTGGTAACCCTATCCCGAGCAGGGTGAACTGTTCCCTAGGTGTTCTTCTCATAGGTGAATTGCTCTTTGTCTGGTCCCTCACCCAGGACCAATTTGCTATAAGAGACCCTACCAGGGGGCAGAAGCCCCTGGACAACATAGCCCCTGGGAGCCCTGGGACACAAAACTCCCTACACCATGATAAGGTAGCGATTCCCTACTCTCACCTATGGTCAACCAAAAAAAGAAATTGGAAAAGCTACACTACTGTGGGTAGTGACCGAAAGAACAAGATCGCGGATACAAGTGGCAGAAATGGGCTTCCTCCGAAGGGTGGATGGCCTCTCCCTTTGAGATAGTTCAGGGTGAGAAGTTCAGGGAGGAGATCAGAGTAGAGCCGCTGCTCCTCCACATCGAAAGGAGCCAGCTGAGGTGGTTCGGGCATCTGACAAGGATGCCTACTGGGCCCTCCTGGTTGAGGAGTTCCAGGCATGTCCCACAGGGAGGAGGCCCTGGGGCAGACCCAGGAAACACTGGAGAGATTATATCTCTCGGCTGGCCTGGGAACGCCTTGGTGTTCCCCCGGACCCCAGCCCCGGTTAAGCAGAAGAAGGTGGAAGGACAGATGGATAATACTGAATAAAAAGAAGAAAACAAAGTTTTTACTATGAGCCATAGGATGGCAAAAACCAGTACTGGGATTTTGGCTAAAAGGCTTGAAGGTGAGACTAGTTTTGACCTGTAATAATACTCTAAACGTTTGAACACGTGGACAGCATGAGAAGTTATTGTAAAGTAATATAAATTTGGCAATGAGTCAGGGATTACTGGGATACTAAATCCAAATAGTTGTGGTTAAAAGTGGTTGTTGTGGCACATATTTGTGTCTTATACACTTTGCATCTTCAGTTTTATTTTGAATTTGATCCAGGCAAAGACCAATCTCTTCCAGTCATCCAGGAGGAATTTAGTGTTAATCAGTGCATTTTTCAGGAAGGAAAAAGCACCACATCACAAGGCAAAGTAAATAATAGTTTGAATCTATGACCAAGAGTCTCCCTAGATCACATCCCTTGAAGAGCATCCGGTGCCAGAAAGAACTGCGTATAAAGAAGGAGGTTCAACACTATAAATACTGTCTCTGTGTATACGTTTGATTTATTTGCCAATAATAGTCTTTGAAACTTGCATCAAAAATGCTTTTGATTGTTTTTGGAAAAAATAATAAATCAAGCAAATGGAACACAAATTTGTTTGCCATTTGTTTTAATCAGTTTTTGAACTAATTCTGATTCAGTGTAACAGGCCGGTGCAAGTTACCTGCTCTTGATTCTTGACTTGCTCTAGTAGTCGCTGGAACTCCTCCTCTTTTTCGATGGCCTCTTGCCGAGTTGCCTGATTCTGTTCGTCATAAGCCATGGCTACCACAGCCAGGATAAGATTGATGAGGTAGAAGGAGCCCAGAAAGATAACGACTACAAAGAACATCATGTATGTCCTACCAGCTGCCCTCATGATCTGTTTTAAGAACAGAAAAGAAGCTACGAGGACTAAGGACAAATTTCTTCACAATACATTTTTAAAATTAAAGCATAAACTGTAATGAAGCAAATGAAAGAAGAGCCAACCAGCTGGAAAAGGTTCTCCCAGTAGTCCTGGGTCATGAGCCTGAAGAGGGCAAGGAAGGCCCAGCCAAAAGAATCAAAGCTGGTGTAGCCAAAGTTTGGGTTCCTCCCAGCCTTCATGCATGTGTATCCTTCGGGGCACTTCCTGTCAGCAGAGAAGAAAAGTTATCCAACTACATCTGGACTCCCAACCTCCAAATCACACTTGCAACCTTTCTAAAACTTCAATTAAGGCTCATGTCTGCACTGAAACTCCAGTACCCCAAATAAAAGACAAAATTAGCACTGTAGCATCTTTGTGGTGATACGCACCCAGCATCGGAGCTGTTTCCACAAATCAGAGCATCTTGGCTGCCTTCCAGAAAGTAGTGATTCTCTATAATCAACCAAAAAAAGAAATTGGAATAGCTACACCTTTACACCACTGTGGACAATATTGATTTAAAATTACAGATGAAAAACTTAGAGATTAGATGAAAAATACCTGAGTTTTCAATATATTCAGTGAAATTGAAGGTGCTGTTGGTATATGTATCATTTAAGCCAATGGTGTTGTTGAAGTCCACTGTGTTATTGAATGAAGAGGTGCCGTTAAAGATTTCAAACATGGTGTCATTTGTTTGGATGGGCCATCGCACACATTTCTGTCGCAGGTTTCCCATAAAAAGCTGAAGACCAACGAGTGCAAAAACCGCAAGGGCGAAGACTGTCAGAATCATCACGTCCCCCATTTTCTTCACTGACTGGATCAAAGCAGCCACAATTGTTTTCAAACCTGACAAAACACAATTGATACATGAGTGGTCTATATTTGGAAGTCTCAAAAACCAGTAAAAATAATGTGTACTGAGTGCAGTTAAACTATTAGTGTTATATTAAAACAGAACGCATACCAGGAATCACAGTAATTGTTTTAAGGGCTCGAAGCACACGAAATGTCCTCAGAGCAGACACATTGCCGAGGTCAACGAATTCAGTGACGTAACTGGGAAAAGGCACAAACATATCAAGGAAATGGTTTCCGTGCCACCCGATGTAAGCAGAGGTCTCATCATAAAACATAAAAATAAAACAAAAACATTGGCAGCGGCCAGCGGTACTCTGTGTTTGTGTGTTTCCGATTTTTAACAGATACACCTGTGGTAATTTGAAAATCCTAGGTGACTTCCTTCTTGAATTATCACATTCACAAACTTGGGTGTCTATGTTGCCCACCCTCCCGGCAAGGTGACGACAATACCCCATCAGAATTTTACAGCCGAGGTGTAAAAAGGGAACCACACTACCAGCTAATAAGACAGGTACACTGTTCTGATGTAATGAAGCAAATGGAAAAACATTTGGTTTTAGTCAATCTTTGACTAAAACCAAATGTCTTTGTTGGATAACCTTCAGTGGTTATATTGCACCAGCAAAAAGGGTGGAGTTCCTACTGTCATTTAAGTACTAACAACTATTTACCAAATGCATCTACATAGTTTAAATAAACACACAAGCAGATACTTACGCCATGCTGATCACCATGAAATCCAGCCAATTCCATGGATCTCGAAGGAATGTAAAAGATCCAACACAGAAACCTCGAGACAACACTTTAACTGTTGCCTCAAAGGTATAAATACCAGTAAAGACATACCTACAAAGAAATTAATCAGAATTAATTATCCAAATTACTGTGTGAGGTGTGAATAATCAGTGATGAGCTACTTACTCAACAGTTTTACTCCATGCTGGTGGGTTGCTCATTGTCATGAACACACAATTCGATAGAATTGTAATCATGATGAACATGCTAAATAATTTAAGTCAGGATTAAGGAAGCGTACAAGAATACTGTCATACCATTCAAACTAAAATACACTCAATAAATCAAAAGGATATGAATGTATGAGAATTTTGATGGCTCCTCTCCTAACCAAACTAAAGGGGCTCAGAATGTAGCACGCCGGTTCTGCGTTGAACCTGAAGATCGTGTTTCCTTTGGTGATCACAATGAATGTCTGAAAAACACAAAATTATCTATGAAGTTTGTAATTTTTTGCACAAAAAAACAACATTTCAATTAATTCTCTAAGAGACCCTGCGTGGAGCTGCAATGACACATTTTAAGATACAGTCGAGTTTATTAGAGCCTGAGTGTGCAATGTGTTTGTGTGCTTCAGCAGAGCTTTTTCTTCCATGTGTGCTCATACTGACTTTCTGTGTTTCATAGAAGGGGTCTATGTCCTCCAGGGGTGTGTTGAGCAGCTCTGGTGGAGGGTCCCCAAAGATCATGGGCAGACCCTTGCCTGCCTCCAGATCAGCATTCGGGGTTGCTGGTTCTTCCTCGTCATCAGCCTTTACTTCTGCTGCCTTTTTCCTTTCCTCCTCGAGCCTCTTGATCTTCGCCAGTGATTCCCGAGTAAAGGGGCGAAACGCATCGGTGCCTGGGGGAGGAAGCAGCAGCACCATCTTTGCATTGCGAAGGGATACCGCCTTGCCGGGGTTTCCCTAGAAGGAGCTGGTGGGAGGACAGTGAATGAACAGAGAGAATATAAAACAACCATAGTTTTTTTAAATAGGTCCAGGTGTCACATGCAGATAGGACATACAAAAACCTTCAAGACAAAGCAAATCAAAACATGAGCTTTACAAATTTACATAACCCGTATAACATTGCCTTTTCTAACTAACAATATGCATCAGATGCCCAGGTGAACTCTTGTTTGTCTTGACTGTTGTGCATCTTGGGTTCTTGGGTCTGACTTCTTGTCCTCCTCGGCTGCTCTGTGCAGCTTGTGCAGTGCTATTTTAAGTGTCACTGAGCAGAGAGCCACTTTAAGGATGCTTCTAAAACTCATTCAGGTGGAACTTAAAAAGCAGTTTTGAATGGTTGCAATCAGCTCAAGCAGCCTCATCAGATCCACAATGTGATGCAGATGTAAACAATAACTAAAGGTTAAAGGTTGACTGAAACCTCAGTGTGTAGTTTAACAGTCTTGTGATTTATAAAACTGCTTCTCTGCCTGCTACTTTACAAACATGTCATACATGTTATAAATGTAATAACCTTAAAAAAAAAGATTTATGAACACTTGTTGCAACTTTACGATAACCTTCAAAATGATGGTTTACAAACCAATTATGGACCAAATACACCAGTAAACATTAGGAGTTGTTGTACATTTGCTGATAGACTCAGTGCCAAATGTAACTCAAATAACTCATTATAACCAAGGTATGCAGAACACCACCTCCAAACACATAGCATATCAAACCTTCAAGCAGATGGGCTACAGTGGTGGCACTCCTGTCAGCTAAGAACAGAAAACTTAAGGCTATAATTCACACAAAAAAAACTGCATAATAAAAGACTGGAAATATGCTGCCTGGTCTAAGCATTCTTGATTTGTGCTGCAATGGACATGAAAGCATGGATCCATCCTGGCTTGTATCAATGACTCAGGCTGGTGGTGGTGGTGGTGTAATAGTATGGGGGATATTTTCTTGGTCCACTTTGGGCCCTTCAATGGCAGGAAAGCATTGTTTAAAGTATTGTTGCCGTCTAAGTCCAATCTTTTACAGCAACAGTAAATGGATGGACTGGTACTTATATAGCAGCTTTCTTCTCAGAATAAGACCTCAAGGAGTTTTGTATTACGTGCCTCATTCACCCATTAGTACACAGTGCTTTTATCTACACCTAAGCACTTTTACCTAACATTCACTCACTCACAAGCCAATGGATGCAACTCAGGGATCAGAGGGGATCAATCCACCAACCTTCTAATTGGTAGATAAACCACTCTTCCACCTGAGCCCTAGCCACAGTTGCCCCAGCTGTTTGCCCACCCTCTGATGCCTACTTACAGCAGGAGAGTGTGCCATGTCACAGAGCTCAAATCATTTCAAACTAGTTTCTTGAACATGACAATGAGTTCTAAAAAGCGTCCTCAGTCTCTAGATCTCAATCCAACAGAGCACCTTTGGGATATGGTGAAACAGGAGATTCATTCATGCATGAGCAGCCAACAAATCTGCAACAACTGTGTGATGTGGTTGCCTCAATTTGGACCACAATCACTGAGAAAGGTTTTCAGCATGCCTTTGGATCCATGGCATAAAGAACTGAGGTGGTTCTGAAGGCAAAAAGGGGGTTCAACCCAGAACTAGCAAAGGTATATCTAGGCTGTGTACATTTTACTGACAAAGATAGTGTCACGGTTCTGGGTCCGTTGGACCCAGTATTTTGAGGTTATTGTGTTTTGATTTAAGTTTGCATCAGGGATTGTGTTCTTGTTCTCT